GAACACGGTCTTAGCGACTGGCGTGAAAAAAAATTATCATTAGGCACGAAACACAACAATTACGTGAAACGAGTGTCGTGATCAAATTGGCAATCGCACGTGCAGTGGAATGCATGCACACTGATATTTCTAAACAGGAAAACGCATCAAATTGCAAGTTAATTATAAGGCGAGTATCCCTCACAATTCAGCAACGTGAACGTGCCACGGATGGGCAAAGTACTGTCCAGTCTGAGGATTCGTGTGCCAGAGACTCCAACCTTCATTAGCAGACATTTGTTCAGGTGCAGAGCGTCCACGCATACCATCAGTAATCAGCAGCACATCGCAGCGAGGTGTCTGAGCCAGACGACCATAGACAGGACCTGTCGTGCTCAACGTGTGCCATCGGTCCTCAATCATGCCAGTTTCAACCAGAACCAATGAAACAGGCTTGGCCGACGACAAGGTACGGGTGTAGGGATGGAAGTTGGGCCGACGACAAGGTACGGGTGTAGTGATGGAAGTTGGGCCGACGACAAGGTACGGGTGTAGTGATGGAAGTTTGGCCGATGACAAGGTACGGGTGTAGCGCTGGAAGTTGGGCCGATGACAAGGTACGGGTGTAGTGATGGAAGTTTGGGGAATGACAAGGTACGGGTGTAGGGATGGAAGTTGGGCCGATGACAAGGTACGGGTGTAGTGATGGAAGTTTGGGGAATGACAAGGTACGGGTGTAGTGATGGAAGTTTGGGGAATGACAAGGTACGGGTGTAGTGATGGAAGTTTGGGGAATGACAAGGTACGGGTGTAGTGATGGAAGTTTGGGGAATGACAAGGTACGGGTGTAGTGATGGAAGTTTGGGGAATGACAAGGTACGGGTGTAGTGATGGAAGTTTGGGGAACATCATGCACGGTGTTATGTCAAAAAGTTATCTTATGGTTACGACCGTCGTAACTCCTATATTGTAACATTGACTTACGACAGTCGTAGCGCTACGACAGCTTTGTGAAACTGGACCCGGGACCCTGAACAACAATCATGTGAGATCAACCGCTGGCACCAAATGGTCCTCAAATCATTACGCTCCACCCCTAAATCAGTCAACCTTACGAACATTACACCGTAACATAACATAACAGAGCCGGCATGCACTTCAGTACAAATTCAGGTGAAACTCAGCACAGCCCCGTACGAGTCAGGAACCAGCCGGCGCTGTTCCACCAGCCGTTGTCACCCCTCGGTATGAAGTGTAGAAATTGAACAATACTACATGATACTTACTTAAACAACTTTTTCCGTGATCGATCATAAAACGTCAGATGTCAATTTCTGTTAGGTACAGAGGTTTCAGGACCATATGTCTTATTTATGTTTTGTGCACTTATCCCTATATCGAGTTATTTAATCATTCATCGTTCTCATTTGAACCAGGAGACTGTCACACAAGTTTAAACGCCAGCCCTTCTGCAGCTACATGATTGTGGACAACGCTCCGCCCCCTACGTCAGTTCTGACCTGTAACATCTTACACCATGTTGACGTTATGGACTATCCTTCCCGTTCCCCAGACTTGAACACTGTCGAACACATCTGGGATGCGCCTGGAAGACAGCAGATGAAGCAGCCCCAGACCTTGAAAAAACTTGTGCATGCACTTGTTGACCAATAGCTGTTGCTGTCATGGCTGCCCTTGGAGGTCACCCTCGTAATTGACTTCTGTTCTAGCAGTTTCATCAGTATAGAGTTTTGCGCTTGGGGTCATAAAACGGCATGCATTATATAGCTGTGCCAAGGAATTGCGCTATTCTTCCGATATTTCTTAAGAAATAACTTAAAACACTTGGGCTGCAAACTTCAGTGTCAAACGGAGAGGTGCAATACACAAATGTCATATTGATTATGGCATTCAAATCTCACCAATAACTACAGAATAGCTACAAACTTAGAAAAATTTGTTCTACCAAAACTTTAAAAAATATCAATCGAAGATTTTTCAGATTTGGAAAATAAGTTTTTTTCTAAAGGAGAGCTACAGTGCCAAGTTCTGAGTTTCTCATTTTTGCAAGAGCTTCGTTGATTTACATACTTGATTTTAGAAACCTATAAATGGAATACATTTCAATGGATTGTTTTCAAATTTGGGGGTCACCTTTTATATCTATAGGGGTGGTGTAGTGCAAAATTGAATTATGGTATTGTTAATGCATCAATTATTTTCACAATTTGCATCCGTTGAACTCGGGAACCACGACAAATATGTTCAACCAATAACTTTTAAATCATTACGCTTGTTTTCAGATTAGGGCGACGGCTTCTTTGATCATAGCAAAAGAGCAGTGGGGATATTTTTATTTTGTCAAGAGTTAACATAATTCATATATTTTGAACTCATCGCAAGTTTGTTCAACAAATAGTTGGGAGTCACGGTCAGGGATATCAGAGAGCACTGTTTCCATTTTGTGTTTGCTCTTCCGGTAAAATGACGCAGCAACTCAATGGTCTGTATTGTTACCTGGGTGATAGCAGCAGTAGATATATTTTGTGGGATCCGATTTAACAAGTGTCAAGTTTTGAATTCGGTTGAATATATCATGGTAAGTTGGTCGTGATATATATAGTGGTTTGAACATTTCAAACAATTGTTTACATCAACTAGCAATGATGTAACGGAGGATGTAAATGCTGGCAACGAGAGTACTAATGTACGTACAAGCACACCAACTGACTTTGACCCATTGACTAATGATATTCTAGATCCACCTATTACCAGACAAGAAATTATAGATAGTATAAGACACTTAAAGGTAAACAAAGAAGCGGGTGTTGATGATATATTACCTGAATTTATTAAATATTCTGAAGATATCTTATTACCTTTCTTTAAGTTGATTTTTAATGTTATTTTAGAGAGCGGTAATTTTCCATCGACTTGGATTATTGGAATTATTATCCCAATTCATAAGAGCGGGAACATTAATAATGTTGATAATTATAGAGGTATAAATCTGTTGAGTATATTGGGAAAGGTTTTTGTCTATATCATCAACAAGAGATTGACTTTTAGGGCAAATACTTTTGATAAAATAGATGAATCCCAAGCCGGCTTTAGGGCAGGATACAGTACTGTCGATAATATCTTTATACTTAATTCAATTGTGCAGAAGTGTCTAAATACAAAGGGAAAGAAAATGTATGCTTTGTTTGTCGATTTTAAGAAAGCGTTTGATTCAATACAGAGAGAAAAACTTTAGGGGGTAATGCAAAAACATGGTATTAGCCCTAAGATGAATAGATTGCTGCAGAAGATATATGATAATGTGAAAGTTTGCATCAGAAATAATCATGAAATATCAAATACCTTCAATTGCAATGTTGGGCTTAGACAAGGCTGTATTCTGAGTCCATTCCTGTTCTCAATGTTCATTAATGAATTTGCTTCGATAATACAACAAAATGGTACTCATGGTATCCAGTTACATCCCTATTTGACACAATTGTTTCTATTGTTGTTTGCCGATGATATGATTCTGTTTGCGACTGTTGTTTGATTACAAAGGCATATTCATGGGTTGGAACATTATTGCAATGAGGCAGGATTAACTGTTAATTTTGAGAAAACTAGAATAGTCGTATTCAAAAATGGGGGCAAACTATCTAAAACGGAAAAATGGTATTATAAAGGAGAGCCGCTCCAAGTCACACAATCATATAAATACCTTGGAGTCTACTTCACTAATCGTCTTGGCTTTTCAGCACATGCTAAATATTGTTCCACACTAGCCAAAAAGGTACTTATTGGGGTTCTCAAAAGTATTCACAAACTCGTAGATATTGATTATCATTCTTTTTTTCAAAATATTTGATACAAAAATCCTTCCTATTCTATTGTATGGTTCAGAGGTATGTGGTTTCAATAATTTTGACGTAATTGAGAAAATACATTTATATACTTGCAAGAAATTCTTAGGAGTGAAAGTAAGTACACCTAATGCCATGGTATATGGAGATTATGGAAGATTTCCCATACACATTTTTGCTAAAGCTAGAATAATAAAACATTGGATACGTCTGTTATATATGCCATCTGATAGATACCCTAGACAGTGTTATGATATGATGTTAATGTACGATAACAACGGGAAGACTAACTGGGTGACTAACATTCGAGAATTGTTAAATACAATAGGTTTTGTGGAGGTATGGCAAAGGCAAAATGTTGACTTTCATACAAATTTTGTGAATAATGTTACTCAAAGGCTCAAAGATATATATACACAAGAATGGGTAGGAGCACTGTCATTGTCAATTAAATGTTTCTATTATAGAATGTTTAAATTCCATATATACAGAGAGAATTATCTGCTCTCACTAAATATCAAGAAATTTCGAAAGGCTTTTGCTCGGTTTAGGTGTTCCTCACATGACTTGGCAATCGAAACAGGCAGATATCATAAAATAGAGAGGGAAAATAGAATTTGTACATTTTGTGATCTTAATTGTGTAGAAGATGAATATCACTTCCTCTTAATTTGCCCATTATATTGTGAGTTAAGAAGAAAAAAAAAATGTCCCAAAATATTATTCTGTATATCCCGATAGGGTGAAATTTTCTTTGTTAATGTGTTCTGGTGACAATGTTCTTATCCGTAAGTTGTCAACCTTTATCTATCAAGCATTGTCTCTAAGAAATAAACATAATAATTCATAGAATGTATGTACTCATATTGTTATATGTTACGACATGATATGAAGTGGTGCGATATGATATGATATGATATGATACATGGTATGATATGACATGATGTAATATGGGGTGTTATGATATGATGTGATACGACAAAGTATGTGTAATGCGATGTTATATGATGTGATACATTTTGATGCGATATGACATATTGTGATTTGACTATTTTTATTCTTTTCTGTGATATTGTGTACTATGTTCTTGTATACTATGGGCCTGTGGCCTTCAGTATGAATAAAGATTGATTGATATATATATAGTTATATATATCAAGTCTAGACTATCTGTTTTGGTATGTATAATGGCAAGTTCAGAATCTGCTTATTAAACAGTATATCATCTAAACACTGACAATATTTTCTGTAAACTAATTACTGTTTATTTAGAAATTGACAAGAAGCAGTTTATTTAAATTGGCAATATCAAGTTTTAACATAAAGCGCATAAGTTAAAACAAACTATAACAATGTACGTGTGCGACCTAAGGACAGTAAACATCAAACGACACTTTTAGGTCGCTTTACACGGAGAGATCTAAGTTTCCTTTTTCTCGCCTTTTCAAGTTCAGTAAGTGAGTCCTTTCTGTTGGAGAAGTAGGATTTCCCTGGCAGCAGTGAGTTCCTGCTCCTTGGCCTGTAGTACTTGCCCGTATTTGGCCGATTCGGCTGTACGGGCTCCACACCAAGCTTCTCAATGTCTTTGATGATTTCAGAAGTCACGTCGGTTACAGAGCGAGGTCGCAGGTCACGGGGTTTGACGGAACTACGTCCACGACTGTAGGTTGTGTTGCCTGACTTAGGCCGTCTTAAGATTGCGTTGTTTGCGTTTATGAGTTTAGCATTATGTTTTTTCTGGCAGGTAATGCATATACGGGGCACTGGATTACAGAGAAATGATTCTATCTGTTCTTCTTGATGAACTTGCCTCGTGTAGGACTCGTACCTGTTGTCATGACAACTTCCGGTACATAATTGCTGGCGGCACAGGGTACAGGTATTTGGTTGCAGTGCCTTCTCAGGACAGTCTCCAACACATGCAGGCTGAAGGCAGGTGTTACAGCACCGTCTGTCACGTGGCTTAGCACTTGGGACTCTTTGTTTGGCCCTCTGTCGCAATCTCTTAGTCTCCCATTCGACCGTTTCACTTTGAAGTTTCTCAATGTCTATTAAGCGGTCAAGAATGGTCTCCACGACTTTGGCCTTGGGCCTCACAGACAGTATGTCACGCCAGTCGTATTTCTGCCGGGCTATCACCTTCAGATCTAAACGACCAAACGGCTCAGGCAAGGTCGATTCAAACTCGTAAGGAGGAATGTCAACGTGCTCGGCGTCAAAGTCGAACCTACGTCTATCCTTCCGATCCTCGGGCACATAGATGGCATCCAACTTTTCTGGTCGCAGTTGTAGTTGGGGCACCGGTCTGTTGCTGTCTACAGGTGGCTCGGGCTCGCGCTCAGAATCAGACGAAGAATCGTCGTTATCAGAGTTAGGACTGTCTATCCCACTGGTGCTCATATCATCATCTTTAACTCGGTCCCCAAAGCTGTGCGGCGTGATGCTGCTTTTCCCTAGGAGGTCCGCCAGGACGTTGGGGCTTAGGGTATCGAAATTCCCCGGTGTTACATCAGGGGTCTCACTTGTCCTCAGCCCATTGGAGGGGCGATAAGCCCCAGGTGGCACAGAACGCGGCCGCTGAGGGGGCCTTGGCACAGCGCTTGATGGTCGACTTGAAGGAGGTCTGAAACAACAATGAATCTGTTAAGCGGATTTTGAGTTCGAAGCCAGATTACTGCACACATACGGACCTTGTTCACTGCACGGACCTTGCAGTAAGTATTCACATGACAGGCTGAGAATACAATCCCAAATGCTTTTGTAAAATTACCACTAGCACACTAATGACCATGATGCTGCTACACGTACCGCCTGTCGGCCCTTCCACTGATGGGCCTGCATCGGGTGACTGTGGGCTCGAACTCGTCATGTTTGAGAGGCAACCACTGTTTGTGTTGGAAGGCCTTGAGGCTAGCGGCCAGGTGGCTGTGATACACCTGGTTCAGACTGTCCCCGTCCCTCCTGCTCCTCCAGCACCACCCCCTCCTCCTCCAGGTTTTCCAGAACTGTACAACTTCTGGAAACAAACAATAGTTGGTTAAGACAAACGATGGCATTTCTGGAAAAAGGTAGGTTAGCGTTGCGAAACTGGACGTTATACGGCTGAAACTTGAAATATACTAGTTTAACTCATTCGCACTGCGAAATTCGAATTACACTGTGCGAAGAATGTACATTGCCTAGGTATTGAAGCGGCCGGTGTGACCTTTTGAAAAAGCGGCCTCAGTCAAAGCAAATCAGTCACTGTTCGTTCATAGGTTGTGCATTCCATGTCATACTGATATCTTCTATTTAGTCCTGCCCAGGTCATGTGTATACGTGTGCAAAGGGCGCTGTTTCATCAATGTAACTTACATATCTCCCCGATACCGCTAGGTAAAAGCAAATAAAGTTATCACCGACTCCAGACTGTTATCGGTGAGAGACTTAGACCTTCAGCTACACAGATCGGTAGGAGTCAAGGACAAGAACATCAGGTATGTCGTCTTGTGTGTGGAGATGGATCATGTATGGGTGTAGTTTTGCTGGTTTGACAGTGTCATAGTTATATTTGTGTTACAGAAGAGGGCGCAGATACTTCATGATATGAACTGTGTTGAGTCAACGTAGCTCTCCTACCGCGACTGCTGCACATAACATTACATGTATGGTACAGGGGTGGCTGCCTGAACCCCGTTGTATCTACAATGTAGAGCGTTCTAGAAGTATGTCAGATTGGAGAGGACGTTAGCTAGTATATTCCTAACAGCAGTTGTCAGTAGCAGTGGGCCTGTGTAGTGTATCTGGGGGTGTACCCCAGTGTCCTCTGTCAGGCATGTGTAGTGTATCTGGGGGTGTACCCCAGTGTCCTCTGTCAGGCCTGAGTAGTGCTTCCTGTGTCGGGGCCGGGGGTGTTAACGTTGAACAGATGGAAGCGAAAAAATCAAATATATGAATTCGCACACATAATATCATACGTGTTCATGCAGGACTTGTAAATGCCACTGATGAGCCTCGGTGATATCAATAAGATGTCAGTTCACATTAAGCTGGTGATACGTCATTATTGTATGACTAATCCCAGATCCAGTCAAGCTGTCCACGCTGTCGATCATCTGTCACTAATGGCCCTTTACCCTGTTCATAAACCATGTCATTATCTATTATGTTATATTCTAACATGCAATAAGCAACTACACGTGATTAATGCTGCTGGTGATTGGCAGGTACCACAAGATGGCTGCATTGCTAGGAAACTGGCAGTTGGAACGTCACGAAAACATGGACGAGTATATGAAGGCTGTCGGTCAGTAGACGTGTTGTATGTCCAGTCACAAGCACTACACATGACTATTAGAACACTGACACTTACCTACTTCCAAGGAAAGGATAAAGTAAAATATATTAACGTAACTAACCACGTGAAGTAAAATTCTCTTTGGCAATCCCTGCCTGCGAACGAAATCATTTTAGCTAAAATTAATTTGGATCAGTGAACATTGAACTTCCTTCCTTTGGTTGGTAAACATTTAATTGTATTATTGTAAGTATGTGTCACTCACCACACACTAAGGGCGTTTAGTGATCACAAAGATCAGAGTGTCACTGATATTTCGGCTGATGAAAAGCTTTTGTTCAACTAACTTACAGTTAACAGTCGGGTGTGAGTAGGATATGTCATAAACAGAAATACCTTCAAAGGTTAACACGTCGTATATTTGTACTAGGTGTATCTACAGTGGCTAACCTGTAACCATGTTATTGTATGACGTCACTGCAGGGGTGAACATCATATTGAGGAAGATGGGTCTCTCTATCACGAGCTACGAGGAAATCAAGCAGGATGGCGACAGCTGGGAAATCCATATCACATCAACTTTCAAAAACGCTCACTTAATATTCAAGCTCGGGGAGGAATTTGATGAGGAAACTATGGATGGACGAAGGGTCAAGGTGTGCTGGCTGTCAAAATGATTTAAGTACACAAATATCCATTAGGATTAGATCGTTTGATTATTCAGTTAAACCAAATAGATCTTGACCAAATAGCTTGCACTGACAGAGAAACTGTGGAATATACAATGTCTAATATTCTCAGCCTTTGGTGCATTCGACAGAGCAGATCTGACAAAGATCAGTAGCTTTGTTCTGTCTGATTAACAACATTGTTTTAACAGTCAACCATTGTCCTGGAAGGCGATAAACTAATACACAACCAGACGGCAGTGAAGGAAGATGACGAGAACTCGACGATCACACGAGAACTTGAAGGGGACACGCTCGTCATCGTAAGCATGTTTTGTCTTGCGCCAGTCACGCGCCAACAATAAAGTCGATGAAACGTCTTACAATATTCGTAACGATTTGTTTTGTCGCCGCACTCAGCAATATTTCATCTATATTTCGGCGGTTTGTCAATAATCACGTCTGGATCAGACAATCCAGTGAGCAACAGCATGAGCATCCATTAACGCAATGGGGATACGATGACATGTGTCAACTAAGTCTGACCGCCCGATCCTTTCAGCCGATTCTTACGACAAGCATGTGATAATGATTTTAAAAGTCAGAAAGACTTTTTAAAATTGATACATTATTTGTATACATAACCACCACTAGTTTCTCTTCTCTCGGCCATACCCATTGATAATTCTAAGTTGTTTGAACATGCTATAGGTGAGAGCGGGCAGATAGTCACAATAGTACAACTGTATCATCTGACCACCCGCAGCAGCATGTGTGGGAGAGACACACTTCACAATGATCAGCCCGTCAGACAGCATGGTGGAAGGGGTGTTATCAGGGCATTATCATACATGCTCAATATACCGAAAGTATATGAATCATATTACAACCATATCAGATTTATGTGTTGATTATATCTTACTTTCAGACATTTGTGGCGCTGAAAAAGAATGTGACGGCCAAACGATTTTATAAACGCTACACCAAATAGTCCTGTGTGAATTTAAGGATGAGTGCCCAACACTCTGCCATCAGTATGAAGCATGTGGTCTACCCTGATGTATCAATACAGATGTCTATTCTGCATCAACGGCATCTTCAGAGACGGCACCTTCACAAAGTACTCTGGACAGTCTTGGACCATGTGCCTGTTTTCACACGTAGTTTAATGTAGTTCCTATGATTTTGTATTGGGTCAATAAATACATTTTCCCATATATACGTATTGAGGTGTGTGTATTAAACGCTGACACGAGAAATTACGTTGTGATCCATAACATTGTGACAATTCTACGTATACTTTCTGATGAAATACCATTAATATTGCGAAAAAGAGTCACAAACGTTTCGAGTCACCAGAAACGGTATATGGAAGGAAATGGACAAACGCCTAACTAGACACGACTAAAATTAACTTTAATACCGAGAATGTTAACGTGTAGACTTCAGATCGCGTGTATCAGTGTAAGCTTGAGGTGCCTATATTATTACATGCCTCGAACTTTGGCTGGCTTTACAACGTGTATGTGATGACGTTAAGGGTGGCTTTACAACGTTTAAGTGATGGCGTTAAGGCTGGCTTTACAGCTTTCATGTGATGACGTTAAGGATGGTTTTACAACTTGTATGTGATGACGTTAAGACTGGCTTTACAACGTGTATGTGATGACGTTAAGGATGGCTTTACAACTTGTATGTGATGACGTTAAGGATGGTTTTACAACTTGTATGTGATGACGTTAAGACTGGCTTTACAACGTGTATGTGATGACGTTAAGGATGGCTTTACAACTTGTATGTGATGACGTTAAGGATGGCTTTACAACGTGTATGTGATGTTCTTAAGGATGGCTTTACAACTTGTATGTGATGACGTTAAGGATGGCTTTACAACTTGTATATGATGACGTTAAGACTGGCTTTACAACTTGTATGTGACGACGTTACGGGTGGCTTTACAACGTTTAAGTGATGACGTTAAGACTGGCTTTACAACGTGTATGTGATGACGTTAAGACTGGCTTTACAACTTGTATGTGATGTGCTTAAGAATGGCTTTACAACGTGTATGTGATGACGTTAAGACTGGCTTTACAACGTGTATGTGATGACGTTATGACTGGCTTTACAACGTGTATGTGATGACGTTAAGACTGGCTTTACAACGTGTATGTGATGTTCTTAAGGATGGCCTACAACATGTATGTGATGACGTTAAGGATGGCTTTACAACGTGTATGTGATGTTCTTAAGGATGGCTTTACAACTGGTATGTGATGACGTTAAGGCTGGCTTTACAACGTGTAAGTGATGACGTGAAGGCTGTATTTTGAGCTTTTCAGTAACAACATCTAATTTGGCTTTTGAACTTGTATGTGCTGCAGTCTATGCTGGCTTTCAGATATAAACACTACCTACTGCCAGCTCGATAGGTATGTGACTTGGAGTCAGTGGACTAAGTTCATGTTCAATAGCATCCATGTATCACTACGTGTTACACGCTTGTTTCAGATCCTTGTAAATTCCTACATTTGGGGATATCTCAACAGTCGATTCTGGTGGATCAGAAAATCCACTGACTAGCATTATGAGCATCGATCGACGTCACTGGGATACGATGACTTGCATTAACCAGGTCCCCTAACCTGGTCGCCGATACTTTAGTCGCCTCTAGCATGGATTGCTGACAACGTATATCCTTACCTAGAATCAACAGGCTCATACCAACCATAGGTTTACAGATGATTGTAAATGGACAATGGATACAATTAGACTTAAATTATCTTACTCTCGTTCGCTTCCGCCTTCTCGTACTTCTCCGCCTCCTCAACCCCGACATCGCCGTGTCCGGACGGAATAACGACAAAGACTCCGTGCTCAGTCGCACGTTCTCGAAGTCGCAATGGTCATACCCACCCATGTGCTCAGTATCCACGTGAGGCTAGGGATGAATTCAGGGGCATGTGCCCTAAGCCTTCTGCATGGATATCACACATGTAATAAACGCCGTATTTTCATTTACAGTATGAAAGAGAGAATGTAATTCCTCCATCAGGCAATGTATATGTCATCTCTGCAGAACCACCGCCCCGACATCCGACAGTCCTTCACACTAGTGCAGTAAGTTCCAGTGTTAGAGGGCTATTCCTCAGGTAACATGTCACCATGGTGTTGGTAATTATGCCAACACGTCTGTGAAGCTATAAGGGTAATAACAGATAGGTCTTCTGTCCCCCACCCTTCTACAGGTCCACCTGGATGCAGACAAATGACAGGGTATGTCGTCCATCTACCCACAGACCAGGACTTGTTACGCTAGAACGTCCTCGCAGTCGCAGCCGAAGTAATCGATCAAAACTGCAGATAACACACTGTCAGTGCAGGCCTCTGTCACTGCCGCTGTCGACATGTATATCACGACAGGGACGGAGCAGTGGTCTGCAACCGTTGGTGTTATATACTAATGAAGAACCAGCAGTGGGATCGATCAGGGTTCACTCAACGTATTCAACTTATTCAACTCCACACATGGCCTGGCTGCGGTAAGTGTTGCCATCTGAAGAATGTTCCACCAGTTTCTCTGCACGGTGCCCTGTCTCTGGCCACGACGACCATTACAGTCATCAGATATGTATCATGAATCGGGTCTAATGGGCGTATAGAGGTTCAACAATTACAATGTATGAAGACTTGGACCAATGAAGTATGTCACGATATACGGTGTACATGTATATCATTTCCAACAACGAGACCGGCAAAGAAGTAATGGCGATTCAATAGGTTGTATTATCTGGATCAGGAAACATGTGGGTCCTTCCCAGTGAAGACTATTGTCGGCTAAACCGTTAGTGCTGACTCATCAGTTCCCACATGGTTACCCATGCGTTATATGTGTCCTGGGAGGTAGAGGCTGGAGACATGACTTTACCTGTAGGTGGTGACAAACTAGCAACTGGTACACAGTACACAGTACACAGAGAAGGGACAGTGTATTCAAGGGAACGCATGGACGAATTTATCAGGTTACGAGTCAAAACCAATATATTTTGAAGATGAGAAGTAGTTATATCAGCGACGTGTGCTGCACAGGGGCTCAGATATGGAAGTATGAAGTCAATTACTGACACGTCTTCAACTTACCGCGTGCATCTTCACAGGCTTGAGCTCTACTCCGGAACAAAGATGTCATATCACATAAGGTGTAGAAAAATGTCCACTTAACCTGACCAATGCTGATCACTTGTTTCTGATGGCAATCTCCTTCACAGCGACAAATGTGTCCAGCCTTTGGTTAGCGTTATGCCCATAGTTGTCCTTCATAGTTCACCCGTATATCCAGAATCAGGGACAATACTGCCGCTGTACCGGCCCATGTCACACACCGCTCTATCAACCTGCCACAATTGCTAATTAAGTGCGATTACAGCGTTTAAACAACACCTCCAGGTTGTAATTTGAGTTAACCGGTGTGCTTTATTCACGATCTGCTTTCCTTATGCTGGAGAGCTTTAATCCGCCTTCCAAGCCGGTTACTAAGTCGTACGTTTAATCGCAGTTTTTTTGGGCCGATAAGCAAAACGGTCATAGATTTCTGCAACTGAACCTTTTCAAAATTTCAAACCAGACTCTTATTCTCCCCAGTTTCTGAAGAAGTAACAATTTCCTTTCACCATAGTATCCACATAGTGGCCATATCTGCCATACTCATGTGAAAATCAATACTCTAAATAGACCAGTTTGTGGTTTCCATTGTGAGAGGAAAGTCATGTCCGCTTGTTGCTATGGTAATGAAACCATTATCTCTTTATACGGGTGGTAAAAGTTACAGCGACCATGGATCCCTTAATCCGTGTGTAATGGTTTGATGTCAGATCTGAAAATAGGAAACCCTAACATATTGGATTGCGACGAAATGTTAAAAAAATATATATATTACCCAAGTATATCTAATCTCTTCCTTGAAAACCATTATCTGCATGAGCAAGTATGTTATATTTATTATCGAGGACCAACTCACAGAGTATAGTCAACTGCAGCAAAAGTCAAATTGTAGACAAAGTATTTTCAGTCCTACTTTTCGTCTGTCTGTGATCCGATCCATACCCGAGGACTCAGTAAGCAGTTCCATATCAGACATACTCCCACACACAACATGAAACAACTTAACAAGAAAATAGTGACAGGATCTTCAGAATCACTGTGTTATCATAATAACTCTGTATAATTATTTAAACCAAAAACCCCAAGGAAGTTGTTTTCACCAGGGCGATCTTTTTCCGCTTTTGTCTCGTGGTCACGATAGCAAATCCGTTCATTTTCTACGTAACAACATTTCTTTACAAAACGAAACAAAAATGCTGACGCACGTATATTGGATAAGCAGACCGCGACTTGGAACTCGATTTTTTGTTTTTATTTCAATAATAGGACATGCCTAAAATAACAGTTTAAAGAAGTTTAACATAAATTCACAGGTCTACATATAGTGAGCATATGCAGTACGGTACGCCATGGTTACATGTTACCAGTATGGTGTCCGCAAGAGGCCTTGTTGCGACAAGTTACTATACAGCCCTACTCAGATCGCTGATTGCCGTCTCCACGGCTTTCGGCAGCGTTATAAGCTGTAACAGTATATGCTTGTCTTTGTGAAGTTGGTCACGCCTGTTGACACGTACCTTGTGGTGCAGTTCAGCTGTATCTCCAGGCAATATGTCAGTGATGTCTTGACACTGTGGCCATTTTTCCAACCAGCGCATGTAAGATGCAATTAGCACCGATAGTAGCGGGACAATATACAAGACGTTGAACAATCATGTAAGCTGTATTTGAAATGTAATAAATTTAATTATTACACGAAAGTAACCTTTCCAAATTGAACTGCTACGCAAGATTCAGTCTTACTTTAGACTCTAAAGTAATAGTACAGATATGTGTCAATAGGCTTGCCTTGTCAGAATGTAGACGTCCACATCAGATGCATGTCACCATCTCGCCCTCTCGCCCCCCTCACTATATAATACCTGGTCACCATCTCGCCCACCTCACTATATAATACCTGGTCATCATCTTGCCCCCTTCACTATATCACACCTGGTCACCATCTCGCCCCCCTTACTATATAATACCTCGTCACCAACCTTGCCTTGCCTCACTATATAATACATGGTCACCATCTTGCTTTGCCTGACTATAAAATGCCTAGTAACCACCTTGCCTTGCCTCACTATATAATACCTGGTCATCACCTCGCTCTGCCTTGCCTTGCCTCACTATAAAATACCTGGTCATCACCTCGCTTTGCCTGACTATGGAATGCCTAGTAACCACCTTGCCTTGCCTCACTATAAAATACCTGGTCATCACCTCGCTTTGCCTGACTATGGAATGCCTAGTAACCACCTTGCCTTGCCTCACTATATTATACCTGGCCACCATCTTGCCCTGCCTCACTATATAATACCTGGTCACCACCTCGCTCTGCCTCACTATATAATACCTGGCCACAACCTCGCTCTGCCTCACTATATAATACCCGATCACCACCTCGCTCTGCCTCACTATATAATACCCCGATCAGCGCCTGGCCTTGCCTCACTATACAGTACCAGGTCACCACCTCGTTCTGCCTCATTATATAATACCTGGTCACAATCTTGCCTTGCCTCACTATATAATACCTGGTCACAACCTCGCTCTGCTTCACTATATAATAACTGGTCACCACCTCGCTCTGCCTCACTATATAATACCTGGTCACCGCCTTGCCTTGCCTCACTATATAATACCTGGTCACCACCTCGCTCTGCCTCACTATATAATACCTGGTCACCGCCATGCCTTGCCTCACTATATAATACCTGGTCACCACCTCACTCTGCCTAACTATATAATACCTGGTCACCACCTCACTCTGCCTCACTATATAATACCTGAGCACCGCCTTGCCTTGCCTCACTATATAATACCTGGTCACCACCTCGCTCTGCCTCATTATATAATACCTGGTCACCGCCATGCCTTGCCTCACTATATAATACCTGGTCACCACCTCACTCTGCCTAACTATATAATACCTGGTCACCACCTCACTCTGCCTCACTATATAATACCTGGTCACCGCCTTGCCTTGCCTCACTATATAATACCTGGTCACCACCTCGTTCTGCCTCACTATATAATACCTGGTCACTACCTCGCTCTGCCTCACTATATAATACCTGGTCACCACCTCACTCTGCCTCACTATGTAATACCTGGTCACCGCCTGCCCCTGCCTCACTGTATAATACCTGGTCACCACCTCGTTCTGCCTCACTATATAATACCTGGTCACCACCTCACTCTGCCTCACTATATAATACCTGGTCACCGCCTGGCCCTGCCTCACTATATAATACCTGGTCACCGCCTGGCCATGCCTAACTATATAATACCTGGTCACCACCTCAATCTGCCTCACTATATAATACCTGGTCACCACCTTGCTCTGCCTCACTATATAATACTTGATCACCACCTCACTCTGCCTCACTATATAAAACCTGGTCACCGCCTTGCCTTGCCTCACTATATAATACCTGGTCACCACCTCGCTCTGCCTCACTATATAATACCTGGTCACCACCTCGCTCTGCCTCACTATATAATACCTGGTCACCGCCTTGCCTTGCCTCACTATATAATACCTGATCACCACCTCACTCTGCCTCACTATATAATACCTGGTCACCACCTCGCTCTGCCTCACTATATAATACCTGGTCACCGCCTTGCCTTGCCTCACTATATAATACCTGGTCACCGCCTCACTCTGCCTCACTATATAATACCTGGTCACCACCTGGTCACCGCCTTGGTCCCATCTTGCCTTGCCTCACTATATAATACCTGATCACCACCTCACTCTGCCTCACCATATAATACCCGGTCACCGCCTCGCTCTGCCTCACTATGTATATATATATATAATACCTGGTCACCATCTTGCCTTGCCTCACTATATAATACCTGGTCACCACCTCACTCTGCCTCAGTAAAATGACTTTACTGTACCAACTTGACACAAATTCAGGACGTGTCCTTCTCACGTGCTGCGTGAGAGTCGACGTCAGGCGGTCATTGTCTCAATAAATAATAAATACCAAAGAGCATTTGACCGTGAAATTACCCAAAGGCACAAGATATTTCAGTAATTTGTGAAGTGAAGGAATGCGATGTCATTGTATATTTCAAAACCTTTTGAAAGACGTCCTTCGCTTTTAACGTTGTTGTTAAAAGACCCGTTCGGCATTTAATCAACGCTAAGTAGGCCATAGCCTGGGCCAGAGAAGTACTCAGCTTAACAAACTGCCGATGTATCGACTTTCTATTCCCGTCGTCCCGGGGGAGTCTTCATTCTAGAAATCCAATACTTGTCTGAGAGATGAGCGGTAGTAGCATGACTCAGCATGCAGAGTGTCATGCAGGGTGTCATGCAGAGTGTCATGCCAGATACTCGTTACAAACAGCCCCGTGCTGCTGCTGCTGCCCTCCATACACCCATGTTTAACAACCCAGCCTACTCATATACCGTTTTATCAAGGCGAAGAGAAGGGAATTACAGATGTCTGAATCTGTGATGCGTTTCCCCACATCCGCAGCTTCTACAAACATGCTGCGGTATTTTCATCAAGGAATAGTCTACAGCTACAACAACTGTTTTCTATTCCATATTACAGTTCAAACAATAAATATATAATTTAGCATTATGTCCGTAATATTTCCGCAATAATCCCTTGAAGATATAAAGACTGTAATAACCTTACACAGAGAAATAATGCTGGCTCTTCCACCAGTAGGACATGGCCATTTGGGCAGCGAGAAACATTTACACCCTGCGAGTTTCCAATAATGAACACTGTGTTTCGCTCAGTTGCACGCTGAGGTAAGGACAACGGGAAGTAACTCCAGTCGGGAAGGGACGCATTATCCCAACGTCGCGCTAAGCTACATACAATCAATGAAAAGAATGTAGAAGAGATTATGTGTCATGGAATAAGCTAATATGTACCGCCATATAATTTGTCAATTAAAATCCCCGTCCCCGCCTGAAAGCAGCTTGTAATATATTAGGCAAACGAGGGGGTACTAAATTGTCGGTTTTGACAAAACTACTTGATAACGTTCACATAAAAATACATGTCGTTGCAAGTTAAATGGGGTCAAAAAGTAAACACGCTTATCGCAGTAAATTCGCTGTCGCAATCTTTGTAGTTTTATCTCAGCAGATACCGTTCTAACAAACAGGGCATAATTTGTGTCGTTTGCCGAAGGGAAGAAAACTATCCAGGTTCGTAATTATTGGCATTGTGGAAGGTGTATTATGTAGCAAGTGTACATTACAATGTGTCTGTAATACGTGTGTGTTTCAAGCATGACTACGTTTGATATATATGTCGATAAGCAACGACAGCACTGTTATTCCTTTCTTAGATTCCACAGTATCAGATTGGAAATGAAATTTTACTTACCTGATAGGTAGAAGAACGGAAGCGGTTCTTCAAGTTCATGCTCACATCTCGAACCTGTTCGCTGAATCGCCGAAACTCCACCTGGTCGCAAAACCAAAACATTTCATTGACTAAGCAGACGATACTGCACGTGCGATGGTTGTCAGTGTAAATAAAGAGTTGGGGGGAAGTCTCGTGACGTCACAGCAGACCGATCCAAAGATAAACAAACATTGGGGGACATGTCATGTCGAATCCAGTCCTCCTCGAATGCTTATGTCCGGGTTGGGTATTTCACGTGACAGGCAGTAGACCGGAGTGATTTAGTGTCAAAGGCTGTCCGTCTCAAGTATTAACTTGCTGCGGGTGTTATAAGAACCTCCCAGCAAGCGGAACACTTAGACCAACCATTGACTATTTTTGTTGGTACATACTACCTTACGTCATCGGATTTATCATATATAGGAGATATTTTAAAAGAGAATCAGAGCATTCGTTTCTAAAACAGTTACTTAGATATAACATTAGCATGAACGGGGAATCTGAAACACCAGCTATTCATTGCATGTATACGTGAAGAAGACTTATGAAGAAGATTAAAGTATAAAATAGAACAAATTGCTATAATTCTACCTCTGTGTGAAAATCATTGACGTAGGTATGTTAACAGTAGCTGACCCACAGCACATAGGTATGTTAACAGTAGCTGACCCACAGCACATAGGTATGTTAACAGTAGCTGACCCACAGCACATAGGTATGTTAACAGTAGCTGACCAACAGCACATAGGTATGTTAACAGTAGCTGACCCACAGCACATAGGTATGTTAACAGTAGCTGACCCACAGCACATAGGTATGTTAACAGTAGCTGACCCACAGCACATAGGTATGTTAACAGTAGCTGACCCACAGGACGTAGTTATGTTAACAGTGACTGACCCACAGGACGTAGGTATGTTAACAGTGACTGACCCACAGGACGTAGGTTGGTTAACAGTGGCTGACCCACAGGACGTAGGTATGTTAACAGTAACTGACCCACAGGACGTAGGTATGTTAACAGTGGCTGACCCATAGGACGTAGGTATGTTAACAGTAACTGACCCACAGGACGTAGGTATGTTAACAGTAACTGACCCACAGGACGTAGGTATGTTAACAGTAGCTGACCCACAGGACGTAGGTATGTTAACAGTGACTGACCCACAGGACGTACGTGTGTGAACAGTAACTGACCCACAGGACGTAGGTGTGTTAACAGTAACTGAGCCACAGGACGTAGGTATGTTAACAGTAGCTGACCCACAGCACATAGGTATGTTAACAGTGGCTGAGCCACAGGACGTAGGTATGTTAACAGTGGCTGAGCCACAGGACATAGGTATGTTAACAGTAGCTGACCCACAGCACATAGGTATGTTAACAGTAGCTGACCCACAGCACATAGGTATGTTAACAGTAGCTGACCCACAGCACATAGGTATGTTAACAGTAGCTGACCCACAGGGCGTAGTTATGTTAACAGTGACTGACCCACAGGACGTAGGCATGTTAACAGTGACTGACCCACAGCACATAGGTATGTTAACAGTAGCTGACCCACAGGACGTAGTTATGTTAACAGTAGCTGACCCACAGGACGTAGTTATGTTAACAGTGGCTGACCCACAGGACGTAGTTATGTTAACAGTGGCTGACCCACAGGACCGAGGTATGTTAACAGTGACTGACCCACAGGACGTAGGTGTGTTAACAGTAGCTGACTCACAGGACGTAGGTATGTTAACAGTGGCTGACCCACAGGACGTAGGTATGTTAACAGTGGCTGACCCACAGGACGTAGGTTATTAACAGTGGCTGACCCACAGGACGTAGGTATGTTAACTGACCCACAGGACGTAGGTGTGTTAACAGTAGCTGACTCACAGGACGTAGGTATGTTAACAGTGGCTGACCCACAGGACGTAGGTATGTTAACAGTGACTGACCCACAGGACGTAGGTTGGTTAACAGTGGCTGACCCACAGGACGTAAGTATGTTAACAGTGGCTGACCCACAGGACGTAGTTATGTTAGCAGTGACTATCCCACAGGACGGAGGTATGTTAACAGTGGCTGACCCATAGGACGTAGGTATGTTAACAGTGGCTGACCCACAGGACGTAGGTATGTTAACAGTGGCTGACCCACAGGACGTAGTTATGTTAGCAGTGACTATCCCACAGGACGGAGGTATGTTAACAGTGACTGACCCACAGGACGTAGGTATGTTAACAGTGGCTGACCCACAGGACGTAGGCATGTTAACAGTAACTGACCCAGAGGACGTAGGTATGTTAACAGTAACTGACCCACAGGACGTAGGTGTGTTAACAGTAACTGAGCCACAGGACGTAGGTATGTTAACAGTAGCTGACCCAACAGCACATAGGTATGTTAACAGTGGCTGAGCCACAGGACGTAGGTGACCCACAGCTGACCCACAGCACATAGGTATGTTAACAGTAGCTGACCCACAGCACATAGGTATGTTAACAGTAGCTGACCCACAGCACATAGGTATGTTAACAGTAGCTGACCCACACATAGTTACAGCACATAGGGGTATGTTAGCAGTAGCTGACCCACAGGACGTAGTTATGTTAACAGTGAGCTGACCCACAGGACGTAGGTATGTTAACAGTGGCTGACCCACAGGACGTAGTTATGTTAGCAGTGACTATCCCACAGGACGGAGGTATGTTAACAGTGACTGACCCACAGGACGTAGGTATGTTAACAGTGGCTGACCCACAGGACGTAGGTATGTTAACAGTGGCTGACCCACAGGACATAGGTATGTTAACAGTAGCTGACCCACAGCACATAGGTATGTTAACAGTAGCTGACCCACAGCACATAGGTATGTTAACAGTAGCTGACCCACAGCACATAGGTATGTTAACAGTAGCTGACCCACAGGACGTAGGTAACAGTGCTTAACAACAACTGACCCAGAGGACGTAGGTATGTTAACAGTGGCTGACCCACAGGACGTAGGTATGTTAACAGTGGCTGACCCACAGGACGTAGGTATGTTAACAGTGGCTGACCCACAGGACGTAGGTATGTTAACAGTGGCTGACCCACAGGACGTAGTTATGTTAGCAGTGACTATCCCACAGGACGAAGGTATGTTAACAGTGGCTGACCCACAGGACGTAGTTATGTTACCAGAGCCCATGGATATGTGTAATAGTAGCTGAAATACTATAGTGAACGGATCAGTAAACTTACCTTTGTTATCTTGTAAATGGAATCCCCTGAAACAGACAAAACACGTGGACGTTAACATCCTCCATGGGACCATTGTTACACAATCACCTATAACAGACAAAACACGTGGACGTTAACATCCCCCGCGGGACCATTGTTACACAATCACCTATAACAGACAAAACACGTGGACGTTAACATCCCCCACGGGACCATTGTTACACAATCACCTATAACAGACAAAACACGTGGACGTTAACATCCCCCACGGGACCATTGTTACACAATCACCTATAACAGACAAAACACGTGGACGTTAACATCCCCCACGGGACCATTGTTACACAATCACCTATAACAGACAAAACACGTGGACGTTAACATCCCCCACGGGACCATTGTTACACAATCACCTATAACAGACAGTCTATGCGGTGGTGGCAACATATCGGTGGACGCTGGGGGATTAAATTGCTATGTGATACGGTCATTCTTTTTAAAAATAAACAAAATCAACAACACAAGAAGAAGTCTCGGTGATTTGACACATTGGAATATTTATGACTACCGTAATTTCCTTTTCAGAAAAAGAGACAACCAATGCCGGTTTAATCGTGCCTAGCTCGCATCTTGATTTAGCTGATGTACGGGCGTGTATTAACCCCACTGGAATATCCTCCTACTTCAATTAAGGGTCGACCCCCTCGAGACGCACCAGCGTTCTTCACCGGAAGACTACGAACCAGGAGCACGGGAGATGTTTTAGTAGTTTCCTATGTACATGAAGGTGAGCATTTGGGACACAGCCACATGTGCAATGTTTGGTTTGGTTTCTTTATTGTTTCACTCAGTAATGTTCCAGGTTAATGGCGGCCGTCTTCCTATAATAAAGACTGGTTTGGATCAGGCAATCCTGTGACAGACATCATAAACATCGATCTACGTTACTGGGATACGATGATATGCATCAACCCTGACAGTGAGACCGATCTTCCGATCCCGTTAGTCGTCTCTTACGACAAGCATGGGACCAGTTCTAACCCAGATCATGTGTAATGTATAGTACATGCCCTCCAGGATATAACTAGTACTTTCCGCTGTCGGGTAGTATAGATACGGATTTTGTCAGAAAAGTAGAAACGAAAGTGGACAGAAAAAAACAAGTATAAGGGTGCGGGGATAGACAGAAGAAGGGATACAGAGTTAATAAATTAGTTGATAGGGTTCATTGTAAGAACATCCTTAATCTCAAGAACTCACGAAGAAGGGCTACTCTGGACTCTCTTCGTCGACTGAATGAAACAATGGAAGAACTAATCTGCGGCATGACTTCATCTCCATCCTGATAACGCAGCCTCGCTGTGGGCACCTGGTCAACACACACGTTACCCTGTGACCCCCAGATGATCGATGGGTCATGAAATATCTCCTCTTCATCTCACTTACGGCAGTCGGATTACCCTGTTTGTTTCCGGCAATATGTAATTGGCTGGTTAATAATGCACGTTGTTCAGCTGAATCACAAACAGCCGTATTCCGCCTAATCAGCGCCATGCTGTGTTGACGATGGACAACGTTCAGGGAGACCAAGGTAAAGAACGTGAAGTCAGTGACAAGGACCATCTTCACACAGTGAAATCAGTTTACTCGTCATACTAGTACATAATACCAAAGTTCCCATCTAGTTCACGGAGAGGCTACACAGTGTAGCTATCGTACAGTTAGATCAATTTCAAATAAGATAATAAACCTTAAAGTATCTATTGAGTATCGACTATATCAGAGGCATGTTATAATAGTAAACACACACGTAATGCATATTAGGTTGTGTTTGTATATTAAAATGCAAGTAGCTCCATACATGACAAGTACGTCCTGGGTTTGGTAGAAACATGGACAATGGAGAAGAAGAACGAATGCAAGTCCTTGACAGTATGAACAATGCTTATGTTCACACGGCCATCCAGCATATACCAGGTATTCGATCTCGTAATGTCAGACTGACCTGGTACAATGTCCGGCCGGAATATACCCATTGTGAGTATTCAATCAAGACATATGTCAACGGTACTTAATGTCTTGGGTGTATAGGGACATGGCGTGTAATCTGTCGAGTTCCCCGGCCACGATGGCCACCACAGGCCTACACATACCTGAACACGTCACCTGTCTTTCAGCTACAAATCAGGACACAGATGATTCTCCGACACAGGTTATATGTAATCCAGATGTTTCCGCCACACGCTACCCAGCAATCACGGCCGCAACAGTCCCGTTATCAGTGAAACATACCCACATTTCCTGAATACATTTCCCAGCGACGCGGAAGGCAGGATATCATCAATTGCAGTCGAGAAGGGAAACAGTTCCTGCAACTCTTTCAAAGACACCCGGTGCCAAGCAGCAGGAAAATGTACACACCACAGACTTCCAATACTCAGGGATGTCATGAACATCATCTTACACCATAGCTCCCCATCGTCTACAACATGAGCGGCGGGACGATGTATGGACAGAGTCGATATACACGGGCGTTGACTAGGGAGCACACCGCTAAAACAATGCTGATCGATTACAAACGCTGAATGGCCCGATGATGAACATATTTCATGATTTATTGATGATGATTAGTCATGATCACGTAGCATCCAGTACAGACCAGCATGGGAAATATGTGCCTTTCCTAGGGACACAAGGTCCGAGTGTCACCAAGGCGTGAGCCGACCAGCGACTTAGGCGGCAGCGCTGGTGTACTTACATAGCATATCTATATAAATAATCCAATGAACGACCCAGTGAGGTATTTCTTTTTAAATCCTAAGAGAAAGAAATATTATTATTAAAACTCAGGTAACAATTCGCGAAGAAAAAGTCCTCTCCACGCAAATACAGTCACATCTATTATACATACACAAAACAGAACAGAGGATACCTACTCGATATACCAATCATTATCTATTTTCAAACTGTGTTGTAACATGTATCATATATAGCGTTCCATCATGGATCGTTCTTGGTGACAACGACTGGTTTGTCAGGTCCAGACTCGACCGTCCACTTGAGTTGCTGACTGACATATCGAAGTGAATCATATGAGAATGTCCAAACAAGTGTTTCAGCTTTATAAAATAGATTACATACATTAGTGAGCCTTGGAGGACAGAAAGAAACCGAAATAACTTCAGTTTGTTTTTATTATATATAAACTATACATTCATTTGGGAAATGACCTCAAATGAGGCAATTCGAGGAGAAAAAAATGTTGCAATAGTATTGCAATAGTTGGTCGCAACAGACTATCGCTATCGCAATAGGTGTTTACCCCTAAATAGACACCCTCGTAGCAATCACTCAGTAGTCATTTCACAGTGAATACACACAAAGCCATGTAATAGGTCTCACAAGACTACATTACTGTACAGGACAACATACCTGCCACAATAGCTGTGGAAGTTGCATGATTCGACAACACATTTGCAACAGTCGACACAATCAGTTACATTCTGACATTCAACACTGTATGGTGGAATCGCCAAGTCAGAGCTGCATAATAAACCTGCACACAATACACGCGCACGACAGTATTCACAGAACCAGGTGGTATCTGTGTGTCTAACAACGGTGACTAGGGTCCGTGGGTAGGTGCACGGGACCACGGTCCTGGCAGCTTTAGCATACATTCGAACACCTAATTCGGTGAAGCTTTTTTTACCTTAGTCCCTATTTCTTCGAACTAACTCAGTGAGACACGAAATACGCAGCTTCACTGTTGTAATCTGAGTCACACAGGTACATTGGACCTACCCCTGTATTGTCCTGTTGACCCCGCCCCATCATTAAAGGCCTTTATGGCCGGATTGGTGAATGTGGTGAAGCTCAGCTGACTGCCTCTTGGTACATCTACCACACTACATACAGGGCAAACATACAGATGCCAAGGTCTACATCTATTTGGTACTAGGTATAACTTACTTCTCTGGCGAGAACGTCGGTACATCTACCACACTACATACAGGGCAAACATACAAATCCCAAGGTCTACATCTATTTGGTGCTAGGTATAACTTACATCTCTGGCGAGATCGTCGGTACATCTACCACACTACATACAGGGCAAACATACAGATTCCAAGGTCTACATCTATTTGGTACTAGGTATAACTTACTTCTCTGGCGAGATCGTCGGTACATCTACCACACTACATACAGGGCAAACATACACATTTTAAGGTCTACATCTATTTGGTGCTAGGTATAACTTACATCTCTGGCGAGATCGTCGGTACATCTACCACACTACATACAGGGCAAACATACAGATGCCAAGGTCTACATCTATTTGGTACTAGGTATAACTTACTTCTCTGGCGAGATCGTCGGTACATCTATCACACTACATACAGGGCAAACATACAGATCCAAAGGTCTACATCTATTTGGTGATAGCAATAACTTACTTCTCTGGCGAGATCGTCGGTACAGTTGTAACGACAAGGACATATCGCTCAAACACACTGTACCGCAGACAGAGAGGTGCGCCCATTACGGGTATCCAGAGTGACGTCCACCTCAGTTTGTGAGGAACACATCTGTCCAGCGCGAATCTCCATTTAGTCAGGCGATTCTCACCATATTTAGACCATTTACTGGACACAATAGACCGTCTGTTCCAAGTGTAAGAGACGTTGGGTATTAACGTCAACGTGATTGTATTCCAGTAATAATAATCCAACTAATCCCCATGTACGATCACGGGTTGACATAAACTAATCCCACCTGAAACAACACAACAAACGATAAGCTTTCATTACTCATTACGTCCCCGGGATTAACACTTAACAGGGGTTCAACCGGAAGTGTTATAATCCCTTACTGCTTGCAAAATGTACACTCCATTGAATCTCAGTCTGTAGGACAAACAGCATAGTGGCAACTTATTTTCTGGGACAGCAGAAACCGGAAGTGACGCCATTTTGCAAACACGGTTACTTTCAGTGGGTCTATTTATGATTTGATGCTATCATCTCGCCTGGCACGCGGTTCTACAAAGGATCTCACATTTGATTATGTATGGTCTCTTGTATCTAAACAATCTGATCCAGCAGAACAAGGAACTCTTTTGTGTAATTACTGATTGGATGATTTTTCTTTTGAACACGCCTAATAGTTAGGTCTTTTTGTCGTTGTTGTTTTTTATTATACTGTTATCCCTTTCATCTGATAATGTGTTTGAACTCAGGCACTTCTAGTTTACAGTGGTAGTTAGATGGAAAGAGGAGAATGTTGTCTTGTGTTATAACACAGAACATTCCCCATAACACCATAATTCAATATAAATTTACATTGCAATGTACCCGACCATGATTGATTTAAAGCACAATAATAATTTTGCTTTCCTTCATAACGCAATAGCAAATTCTTCACATGTCCTGTATTTAGCAGTGGCGGACAGGACACACATACTATACAGTTTCAATTCTGGTCACCCATCTTTAACTGACGACAACATTAACAAATGTGCCATTTTGTGACGGTCAAGAGTTAGTTACGCGAAGTAACAATCATGAATTTAGCAATTCTAATGAAACATTATTGCAATACCACATAGACAGTTGTAACAGCAATTTAGGCTAGAAATACGGTCTTCAAAACGCTTTGATTTCGACAAAAGGTGGAAGCATTGAAAGTCGTGCCTACTACTATACGCATACAACCGCCCATGGCTATCTGACTACAATGGCGTAATAGTATATTGTTAGAACGACACAATTTTAGGAAAACTCACCAACAGATAAGGGCGCACTCATCACTTGCATGAGACAGACAGTTTACCTCCGGCTGTAGCGCAAGGCAACAGCAGACTGAGGCACTTGACAACGGAGAGAGAACCCAACACCTTGCTTAAAGCATTGTACTGTCCCAGTTGTGGAAACTCAACATCATTGTCATGTGGTTGACGCCCATTACACAATGGTGTGTGCACTGCAACAATAGCTCAATGGAGCTCACGTTGGTAAGTGTGCATTCAACAGACAGCACAGCATACCTGTTATACTCTTACACCCAATACACGCGCTTGTTGTTTAGAAATGTACATACAAAGTATTCCCAACATGCACTACAGGCATGCACGCCCTGGTGTCAAGCTAGATCTACAAGCCGTTCCTTTACAAATGTTAAATGATAAGCACTTTCATCACAAGTATAGAATACAGGTACATGAGTGTTACGTCTGTGAGGAGATGTAAATAAGTCTGTACTGGATACTTTAGCCTGGTGGCACAACACTGCCAGCTAACTAGCACCTCGGAAACAGTTGTTGGAGATAGCAGTAGTGGCTTTAAACTATGACCTTTTTACAAATATTGTTACCAATCTATGCCTGTATTGTCGAGGTGAATGTCTGCCTAGATTATGTACGCCTCAGTAAATACACTAGACCAGATACACAGTGTACATGTTCCTAGTATTATATTCAGCATGATTATTCACATTTACTAAAGCTATATTTGAAAGATTGTTGTGTATTAATTCCTATAGTATATGTAATACATAGCACACTGAGTGTTGTATAGAAGGGCTCGTGTTGAACCTGTTAGCGCTCTGTATGCGGCTTCCATTGAATGGGTTTGTATTTCTGGGAACGCGGTTTTGAAACCGTCTCCAGAAAACCGATAAAATATTAAAATACTTTTCGTCAATTATTGACACTTACAATGTACGTCACTAGCTAGAGATCTATAGCATAACAAGAACCTGCATTAATCTGGCTATACAACGTGCAACTTGGATTATCCAGCCTATCATATCTCCATTCTACCTTGATAATACCCTGCAATATCGTCTATAACAATAGAACCTGCAAAAACTGTTGAACGCACATTGCAACATTGAACTTCATAGGTACCGAGTAGAAAGTGTAATCCCAAATATAACATATGTTACATAGGTACCGAGTGTCGAACGAGTCAAAGGAATTTACCCACAAGGGACACATTCTCGTCCCAGATTCCAACTGCTTGTTCTATAGATTTCAGTTTGCGATTAAGGAAAGAAACTATTTGTTCATCAGTGTAGACATTTACCAAATACACAAAAGTTCATTGTCATTGTCCGTTGTCTTGGCGTCCACATCTGGGATCCGTGAGTTACAAGACACCACTGTTAACCACTGGTGTTCCTGGCCCAGACTCACAGGGAAGACCCACGTCAAAGGGAAGTCCCAGGTCAAGGGAAGTCCCAGTTCACAGGGAAGTCCCAGGTCAAAGGGAAGTCCCAGGTCAAAGGGAAGTCCCAGGTCAAAGGGAAATCCCAGTTCACAGGGATGTCACACGTCACAGGGAAGTCCCAGGTCAAAGGGAAGTCCCAGGTCACAGGGAAGTCCCAGGTCAAAGGGAAGTCCCAGGTCACAGGGAAGTCCCAGGTCACAGGGAAGTCCCAGTTCACAGGGATGTCACTACGTCACAGGGAAGTCACAGGTCAAAGGGAAGTCACAGGTCACAGGGATGTCACACGTCACAGGGAAGTCACAGGTCAAAGGGAAGTCACAGGTCAC